CCTAAGTGTCTCTGTGCTGGTATGGTGTCCCAACAATTTTCAATTCAATGTAAGTGTCTATACAGGTGAACCATCTACAAAGTTGAATTGTTTTAGGATTTGTCATGTAGGTGGACTGAGTGCATGACAGGAAAATATATAATTTTTAGTAAATTAATTTCACCACTTAAGTCTATACATAAATATCTAGAAAGAATAATCTTTAAAAGACATATATTAGCATCATGCAATAAAAACTTCCACAGACTAGAGGACTGTACTTACTCTGTGTAGCATTGACTTGTGAGACTTTCCGCCTGTTGTCTTTGTCGTCAGGCATGATCTTCCCCAGAATAGAGCTGAATCGTATGTCTCTGCTTCTGTCTTTTTTGTGGAGCTGCCCTATACACACCTCTTCTACCTGCTTGGCACATGACTTATGGATATTCATTTCACAATCTGTGGAATATAGCATTATCAAAGATCAAGAGTTTGTATTTTTAGTTTTTTTGTCTCCAAAAATATTGAGTCAAATTTACATAAGCTACAACTTTTGCTGAATCTGCATTAATAGATAAGATTTTTTTTGACTTACTGGCACATTGGTACCCCTGGGGGGCAATACCCCAGATAATGAGGCCACAGTGATTACAATATGTTACACTGTAATATGTATGTTGGATAAACTGGTGTTCTCGGTAAACTTGCTGCAAGACAGACAACACAAGGAATCAGTAGCATGAAAGAGGAAAATATTACTTATACAGAGATAGACAGATAGGTCTACATACATACCATACAGACAGATATAGATACATACAGACGGATATATCCAAATACAGGTACAGACAACATTATATCAGAGAACAAGAGAATAAGAGGATGAGAGAATTACTTAATAAAAGTGAAACAAAAAATATAGGATCTTTACACTGCATAATTCAATTCAACATTATTAACTGTAGACAAAATATTTTCACTTTTGTTCAACAAACAAAACTAGTCAATTTAATATACATATATTTCAACTTCTTTCTCTCCTTTACCTTTTTATTTCCCCTAAAGATTTTGCTTCTTAGTGGTCGCTCCTTGCTTACAAAGAGCGGACATCTATCAATAAGAGTATGAGCTTGCTGACTTCGCACCCCATAGTATTTCAACAGGATGGTGGCTAGACTAGAGGCTGTTACTAACATTTGGTCTGTGGCATTCTTCAGATCCTCCCTGTGGCAAGAGATAAGTCTGTTAAACATTTTGAAAATATTTACTAAAATTCAAACCTTAATCATGTCTACATCTTCAGCTTTCAGAACTTGTTTAGAATTCAACTTTTATTCACCATCAACTACAGTTAGCAACATGCTTCTTCAGAGTGTTTTGTTATTCAAATAAAAGCAAAAAATATCAATCTTCTTCTAATAGAAGCTAACATGTGCATATTTGCTTTTCTTAGAACTAAAACCATGACAGGCAAGAGGAAAAAAGGGTATGCAAAAATACAGCAAGTTTCCACATTACTCACGACACGCTCTCAAGGCAAGGCACTAAAAGATGTTCCACAATCTGTAGTTCTTTGGCTTTATTGTGAATGCTCTCCTCCAAAACATGGTCTCTAGGACCAAATATGGAACCTAGGCCAGCACTCCTCTTGTTGCGGAAATCTGCCAACTGTTCATTCAAATCTTCCCGGCATCGTTGTCTTGCTTTCCAAAATACCTGATAAAGAACAATTGCAATAAATAACAGTGGTAATTCCCTAACTTTACATTTTATAATATTCAGTTTTACAAATATTATAACAATAACATTAAAACCTCAAATTACATGTCTCAAGCAAGTGACACATTTTAGGGCTTACCTTTCTTAGTATTTCTTCCTTGTCTAATTCATTATGTAGTGTCTCATCAATCTCATGAAGAACACTTTCTTCTACATTACTAAGTCGGAGAGGCTAAAAATTTAAACATACATCAGGATTCAGAAACATGTACAATGCAGGATAATTTCTAAAATATCTCTTATAATTTCAAATAGCAACTTGCTTTCCCTTTACTAGATGATGAAAGAAGTAATTTGATATTCAGTTCAATATGTGGTACAATATACCCATTACACCATCATCTTCTTCTTCTTCTTCTTCTTCTTTAAAAATACGAAACTCTCCCTAAATAATTCTAGAACAAATTGTCAACGTTTATATTATCTATAAGGAATAAGTCTTTATATTCAAATTACATTCTACATAATTATGAACCAGGATAAAATTGCCATTAATACTATGTTACTACATAAAATACAGAATATTCTGCAGCACTTACGGCACCCGGCAAAAGAAAACAAGAAGTTATCTCGTAGGCCCATCTTTTCATTTCTTTTCCAACTCCTTCCTTATAGAGATGGGTTATTACGTAGAAAAACTGGAAAGAATTTTTTTAATCAGGAAAACAGACATATAGTTTAGTGTGTATCTGCACTTTTAACAAGGATTTGCCTTAAAGCCACAAAAAGCTCTAAAATGTTCACTCAACTCACCAGACTGGAGGAGTCGCAATTTGAAATGACGTAGTTCATGAAGACTGAGAGGTAAGCATTGTGGTTCCAAAGTTTACTTAGTGACTGGAATGGTCCATGGTCTTCAAGCTGTAACAAAAAATTGTTTACTATTCATCTAAACTCCAATATCGATTCATCACAATGAAAAAAAATATCTAAAAATAATAATGGTAATAATAATAATGATAGTAATAATAATAATGATAGCTCTTAATGCCAAAATAAATCATTTAAATCTTAGGGACTAATAATAACATCTTCCACAAAATAAACAATAATATTGCTCAATGCAAAGGGAAGCAATAAAAAGACAACTTACAGGTTCTGGATCAGAAAATTCCTCATCTTCCATGCTTAATATGGGTTGTGTTGGCAGCAAACCAGCCATGCTGGTTGGGGTTACCTGTGATACCACAAATGTGTTACTTTCAGTTACACAGACCCAAACTTATAATAATGATACAAAAGCAAATCATTACTTGCTAGACTCCTTTGAGCATATCAGGCCAATTATATAATAACAATAAAAAGTACAAAGTAGCAATAAGAGATATTCCATAGTATCACGGAAAGAAAAGCACCTCAAATCATATAAAGCATCATTCTAAAATAATTCATATGCAAACAAGGAACAAACAGAATATACATAGAATTTCTGTAAAATTTATGAGCAGTTATTAGCTTCGTTCTACTCTCTTCTCTCTATATCAATGATCCACACCCCATTTGCATTTGTTTACTATATATACTCACAGTCTCCCCAGCCATACAAGAAATATTCACAGTATTATTTAAATATACAAGATACTGTCAAATACATAGACAGTTCCCTATGAATGAATGACATTAGAACAATATTTTATTTCACTTTATCACCTACACTAATCATTTGCCTCCAAAAAATAAGATTTTTTAAAAATCATGTAGTATTAGTGCAATTTCAGACATATATCTTAATTAATGCTAAAACAAACTAAAGATCCAAAAGTATAAATATGAAGTCATTGATTGTTAATTAGGTCTCTAAAAATCGGTAAATTATAAAACAACACAAAACAATGGAAATTATTATTAAGTTTTTTGTGCTTAGTTTGTATCAATGCACAATGTATTATCCCTCACAGTCATAAATGTTTAACCCTACCGGACGGGTCATGTGTACCAGCATCATAACAAACCGCTTGGTCTGTGGGGTACACCTGTACATGCGGCAACACGCCAGAGCGCGTGGAGCGGAACGTTCAGCTTGATGTCGCAGACTCCCGCGCCCAGTGTCTGGCTATTGCCAAAAATCACCAGAGTTTATTACACTCAGGGATTTCTGTTCACCCGGTGGTGATGGGTTAATGAAATGCTACCTTAGACCTTTATATAGAAGTCTATAAGATGAATGCAGTTTTGGTAAGGATACTAATTTATCTCATTTCATATCTATGGAACAGTTAACCCACTGGCATTAAGTACATGAACTGGCCACTGTGGTTTTGTTTTGGTAATTGTGTTTACATGTAGATGGCTCCAGAAGAACTTAGTCATCAAGAACTCAAATACTAGTACTAAATGGTCTCACCTGTTTACATGATTCAGTAGATCTTCACAAAAAAGAAGTTTTAACTTCATTATTACTACTTATATTACCAACATTATCATCATCACTATCATCATTATCAATATATTATTGACAATACTAATAGTAATAAGATAAAAACTCTAAGAATGGAGTAAGCAGGTGAGATCAGGTTGGCTTAACAAGTGATTCCTTAGCACTTCTAGAACCATCTACAGGGGATTGTAAACAAAATGAATAAAACACAACCACTGTGAAACTTGTATACATGCACTCCTGGAGTCAATGAATTTATATTCATTCAACATCTTTACTACTCTTTCCTTTGACTTCTTATTCATCATTAGCCTAATTCATTAGTTCAGACCTTAGGTTAATTCCTTTGTATAAGCAATTAGAAAAAACAAACTAGATTCACAGCTCATGAGAAGAAACCTATCATCTGTTAGCCCCAAAATACATCATATAAATTAATATCTCACAAAAGAAGTGTACTTCCATTAGGATAAGCAAAGTGTAGCATGTTCACATAGCTGGAAACTCTACCAGACAAAGGAAATTGAGGTTTAATGCTAAACCAAATCATCAACCATGTGTGGAACTCCTGGGCTGTCATGTTACCTGTCCATCTGGGCTGGTAGGGCTTGTAACTTGAGAAGCAAAAGGGCTTGCATGATGCGACCCTGGCTTGGGCGGCAGGCCAGGTAAGGATGGTCTGCTGGGCAGGGGAGGGCCAGGGAGGGAAGGGAGGGGGGGAGCAGAAGGTGCAAACTCTCCCCCACCATCACACTACCCCACACACACACCAATGGAAATAGTGTTAGTTAAGCATAGCAAGACAGTAATCCAACTAACCAGGACTGTCATAAAACAAGTGTGGGTATTACAAATATTAGTTAATGCATATTTTACCTATACCATTTACCTTAGTGTCAGTTAAAGCCCCTTGCTCAATAATCAAAATAACATTCTGAGTAGACATGATGGAAGAAAAATAAACAATACATTTAACCCATTACTGCCAGGTCACGTGAATAACTGTCATAACAAACCGTTTGATCTGCTAGCTATACACGTGGTGACACGCTAGAGCGGGAAGTTCCGCTACATGTAGCGGACTCCCACTCCTAACAGCTGAACAGTTGCCACAAATCACCAGTCAATGACGCCAAGAGATTTATAATACTGTCACTGAGAGATTAACAATTGTATTCAAGAAGATATTGTGTTTTTTTTTCTACACACAAAGCTGGTTTAAAAATCATGCTGATTATTTTGAGGTGCATAATGTCTTTTATGTTCACTGTATTTCCATAAAAAAAAAATACAATGAGAGTTTTACAGAAGTTATTTAGGATTAAAAATATTAATCAAAAAATAAATAATCAAAATATTTATGCATTGGTATTTCTAAAAATATATGATACAATTTTTTTCTAATAGTTATATCATTTAAACTTCTTTCTAGTACTTACTCTGAATGTGAGTGTAAATGTGAATATGTAAATGGTGTAAGTGTAATTGTGACTGAGAGTAATTGTGAATATAAATGTGAATGTGAGTATAAGTATAAATATAAGTGTAAGTATAAGTGTAATCAATAAGCATAAGCATAAGCATAAGTATAAGTATAAGTATAAGTATAAATAAAAATAAAAGTATATGTTTAAGTATATGTGTAAGTGTAAGTGTAAGTGTAAGTGTAAGTGTAAGCATAAGTATAAGTAAAAGTATATGTTTAAGTATATGTGTAAGTGTAAGTGTAAGCATAAAGGTGTGTAAGTGTAAATGTAAGTGTAAATCTAAGTGTGTTAATGTGTTAGAATGAGCATATGTGAATGTGATTGAGTGAGGATATGAGTATGAGCATGAACATGAGTGTGAGTGTGTGTGTGTGTGTGTCTGCATGTGCATGTGAATGAATGCATACATGTGTATGAGTGTGCATGTGTGTGCATGTGTGTGTGTGTGTGTGTGCATGTGTGTGTGTGTGCATATGTGTGTGTGTGTGTGTGTGTGTGTGTGTGTGTGTGTGTGTGTGTGTGTGTGTGTGTGTGTGTGTGTGTGTGTGTGTGTGTGTGTGTGTGTGTGTGTGTGTCTGCATGTGCATGTGAATGAATGCATACATGTGTATGAGTGTGCATGTGTGTGTGTGCATGTGTGTGTGCATGTGTGTGTGTGCATGTGTGTGTGTGTGTGTGCATGTGTGTGTGTGTGCATATGTATGTGTGTGTGTGTGTGTGTGTGTGTGTGTGTGTGTGTGTGTGTGTGTGTGTGTGTGTGTGTGTGTGTGTGTGTGTGTGTGTGTGTGTGTGTGTGTGTGTGAGAGAGAAGCTACCAGTTCTGATATGATAATGGGAAATTTCTATTGCAATTATAATACTGAAGGTTTTTAATTCCCAAAACTTAAACCACTGTCGGGATCACAATCACATCCACAGTGAATCTTTATTTATTAATTGTATTTCTACATAGATGGCTCTACAAGTGTTTAATCAACAAGGAGTCAATTACTAGTCCTACTTATCTCAAATTTTACCCTTTACTTAATTTTCAGAAACTCTTTTTCATATTGCTATTAGTACTGTTATCAACATTTGGCAATGGGAAACCACCCGGCAGCATTGGGTTAATACCATTAGAAAAAAAAAAATTCCCAACAATTCATGGACAGGGGAAACCAGGCAAGGTCACATAGGCCTACTGATTGGCTCATTGGTACATGTGCAATTGTAGAGCCATCTATGCAAAAACAAAATTCAGAAAGCAGAACTACACTGGACAGGAATGGATTAAAGAAACATACCTTGTCTCTATACTTTCGTAATGCAAACAAAACACAATATCTAATTTACATAAATTTGTTCAAAGAAGGGACATCTACTCAGGACTTATTGGAAGTATCAGCAAGCCTTATTCTCCCTGGATAAAAACAGGATGAAGACACAGGACAAAAATGTTAACAAATTGTTTTTTGACTGATGAGCCTTTGATAGCGGTTACTTAACTCTGACATCCACTTTACCCATTCACGACGGGCATGTCACGTACGTCCATGCCATGCCCAATGTGAGTTTACTTGTTTAATTGTTTTTACACAAAGATGGCTATACTTGTACTAAGTCACCAATGAGCCAATTACGAATACTGCCAGTCTTGCCCATTTACCCTTTTCTTTAATTTACAAAAATATTTTAGGATATCTTATTTTGCTATTACTAATGTTTATAACATTATAGTAATTATAATGTTTATGATAAGAATAACACCATCAATATTCATAGCACTAGTAAAAAATATATTTTCCTGCCAATTCAAGGAAAGGTGAAATCTGGTAAAGCAGAGCCATCTATGTGTAGTGACATTTCACAAAAATGATAAAAATGAGCACTCCATTTTCCCCATTTCTTTTCCTTTTCTCCGGCGGCAATGGGTTACTTTGTGCTGGGATAGCATTATATATATGCCATGCCCACTGTAAATTTAGTTTATCAATTGTATTTACACATAGCTGGTTCCACAATTACTTAACTATTAGTCCTACATATCTCACTTGTTTACTCTTTTCCCTGATTTTTAAATTCTTTTTAATTTCATTTTACTATTATGACTATTATAGCAATAACAATAATAATAACAGTATTAATGTCAACAGAACTAGAAAAACACATTTCTCCAAATATTCACAGAATGTAGAAATCGGGTCTACACAGGGTCTACTAATTGACTCGTTGGTGGCTGAATGCTTGTGGAACCTTCTCTGTGCAACGAAATTCACCAAAAACTAGAGTGGATATCACATGTGCCCACATACACAGGTTAACCCCTTAGTGAAAAAAACTAAAAAAAAAAATATACACTCTGGAGATCAATGGCAATGTGCAGACTTTGAGCGCGGGAGTTCGGTACATCAAACCGACTCACTGGCTTGTAGCGTTGGCGCACCACTGCAGCATACAGCCACACGCCACAGATTGAGCTGTTTGTTTTGACGCCTCACGGCATGACCCGTCGGGAAAGGGTTAAAGTAATCTTTTCTTTCTTTAATTATAAGAATGCGAGGTTTAGAAGCTTATATCTTCCCTTTTCTCATGGCACTTCATAATATCCACACCTGCTTTAAGTTGACAAAAGCCTGTTATGCTTATTGCTAGATGTTTAATGCAATTGTCTTTAAAAGTATTTGACCGTTAAATACAATAAAATTTCAGACTAGCATTTTAGGTATAGCTAAACTTTTTCTTCTTTACATAATATTGCAGCCTTACTGTCAGCATCTTTTTTTAATATAAAAATAAAATAGTCCATACAAACATGCTGACAAAAAACTCAATAAGATTGGCAAACAAGTCAACATAAAAATAAGCAAATAAATAGTCAGACTGAATACAGGCACAGCATACAAGTTCCAACATGTTCCAAAGTATGAAAATCCAAATATAGAAAGGGAGTGTGTAGCCTGGCACCTTTACCAGAAGGAAGCAGACCTTCCAGATATTCAGTTTGCTTATATAACACTGGTCATCACACACACAAGTGCCATATGTTTTCTGAGACGACAATTCTAGTCCTAAGATTATAACAGACATCCACATACAAAAATCTGGCAACCACATCTAGTTGTTCCCTCATACTCACATCATCCATGATTACTGAATAATTTTCATCTGCTTCATCTGCAGGTAAGTAGCCGTATGGTGGAGGGGGGGTTCCAGGAGGCTCTCCCTGAACCATATCTTCATTATACACAGAAGATACCTTACTGCGATTTGTATTTGATCCTGTCTGGCTTAAGTCACTGACTGAGTCACTTCCACTTAATCTGCATGGACCTGTGAAAAGAAAATGTATATCAAATAATGAAACACATTTTCTTATATGTTACTCTTAAATATATCTATAGTCCTAATAAAGATATTTGTGCTATATCAAAATTCAGTATCATAATACAAGTTTAATCATTGTCAAATACTGAAGGTATCAATATATACTAAACACATCCTAAGATGTATTTTGTCTGACATCCTCTCCCAATCCAAATCAATCAAGAAACCATGTAAGTGTCTCCTTTACTACCAACATCCTTACAAATGTATTCATCACCTGGACTGCTGTGAAGACCAAGGGGATCAGGACTTGAGAGGGCTCTGTAGTGCGATGGTGGCCGGCTACCAGGTTCTGACACAGAACTTGCCGACTGTAATACAAAGGATTAATTTGAATCTTCTGACTAAGTATCTCAAGCTAGTTGTGGGAGACCTTAAAGCATTCAATAATTTTGACTTCATGTCAGCCTGTTAAGGGAGTTCGGTACATCAAACCGACTCACTGGCTTGTAGCGTTGGCGCACCACTGCAGCATACAGCCACACGCCACAGATTGAGCTGTTTGTTTTTGACGCCTCACGGCATGACCCGTCGGGAAAGGGTTAAAGTAATCTTTTCTTTCTTCAATTATAAGAATGCGAGGTTTAGAAGCTTATATCTTCCCTTTTCTCATGGCACTTCATAATATCCACACCTGCTTTAAGTTGACAAAAGCCTGTTATGCTTATTGCTAGATGTTTAATGCAATTGTCTTTAAAAGTATTTGACCGTTAAATACAATAAAATTTCAGACTAGCATTTTAGGTATAGCTAAACTTTTTCTTCTTTACATAATATTGCAGCCTTACTGTCAGCATCTTTTTTTAATATAAAAATAAAATAGTCCATACAAACATGCTGACAAAAAACTCAATAAGATTGGCAAACAAGTCAACATAAAAATAAGCAAATAAATAGTCAGACTGAATACAGGCACAGCATACAAGTTCCAACATGTTCCAAAGTATGAAAATCCAAAATATAGAAAGGGAGTGTGTAGCCTGGCACCTTTACCAGAAGGAAGCAGACCTTCCAGATATTCAGTTTGCTTATATAACACTGGTCATCACACACACAAGTGCCATATGTTTTCTGAGACGACAATTCTAGTCCTAAGATTATAACAGACATCCACATACAAAAATCTGGCAACCACATCTAGTTGTTCCCTCATACTCACATCATCCATGATTACTGAATAATTTTCATCTGCTTCATCTGCAGGTAAGTAGCCGTATGGTGGAGGGGGGGTTCCAGGAGGCTCTCCCTGAACCATATCTTCATTATACACAGAAGATACCTTACTGCGATTTGTATTTGATCCTGTCTGGCTTAAGTCACTGACTGAGTCACTTCCACTTAATCTGCATGGACCTGTGAAAAGAAAATGTATATCAAATAATGAAACACATTTTCTTATATGTTACTCTTAAATATATCTATAGTCCTAATAAAGATATTTGTGCTATATCAAAATTCAGTATCATTAATACAAGTTTAATCATTGTCAAATACTGAAGGTATCAATATATACTAAACACATCCTAAGATGTATTTTGTCTGACATCCTCTCCCAATCCAAATCAATCAAGAAACCATGTAAGTGTCTCCTTTACTACCAACATCCTTACAAATGTATTCATCACCTGGACTGCTGTGAAGACCAAGGGGATCAGGACTTGAGAGGGCTCTGTAGTGCGATGGTGGCCGGCTACCAGGTTCTGACACAGAACTTGCCGACTGTAATACAAAGGATTAATTTGAATCTTCTGACTAAGTATCTCAAGCTAGTTGTGGGAGACCTTAAAGCATTCAATAATTTTGACTTCATGTCAGCCTGTTAAACATGATCTTGAATAAAAGAACCTTCTTAATTCTGTAGCTCTAAGATTATAACCTCAAAGTACAAAAAAAAGCCCATGGATCTTTTTCTTATTGAATGGAAAATGAAAAACCCATCAGGTTTAAAAAACAAAAAAAATCTAAACCCACAATAAGTCTAGGTGTATTCAAATTCTATTAAGTAATTTAGATATTTGAGTTATATTAGGAATTTTAATTTACTCATTACACAATGAACTGTAAAGTGTGTTAGTGTGATCTTGTGTGATTATGTGAGCGTGTATGTTTTTGCATGTGTGTGTGTGTATGTACATGTCTGCATGTTTGCTTGTGCATTGTAAGTGCATGTGTAAGTACATGTGTATGTGCATGTGCAAGTAAGTATACATGTGCTCTGGGTATGCATGTGCATGTGTATGTGCAAGAAGAAGTGCAAGTGCACTTGCATGTACATGTGCATGCGCTTGTATATGTATGTGTGTATCCATGAGTGTGTGCATGTTTTCTTATTACTTTTTATGATAATCTTCTTAGTTTCTCCCCTCTACAAAGTAATGAAAAAATAACATCTAGATATGTAAGACTATTACAGAGGGTAAAAATCTGTTGTCTTTCATCTGTTGCTGTCTCCACATCAGAATTTCTGGTTGAGAGATAAAAACACTTCTTTGTTAAAATTTGTTAAACAAAATGAGACATCTACATTCCTTTAGTAATATAATAATAGACACTTAAAGGCAGCGAATAATTTTGTTTATTCATATCCATTGTTATCTAACTGTTAATTTTTTTTTAATCAATAAAAGGTATAAAATGAAAAAAAATATGATCACCCACTTGAGTAAAATGATTAATTACAGACATCAAGGCACATAGATATCTATATACAGAACCACTTTGAAGTCTGCATGAATGAAATAGCCAAATATTAAAATAAAGCCCATTCTTTACATAGACAGAAGTAAAAATCACATCTTTCACATTTATCTACAAATCAAATGGACTTCAGGGGGAAAAGCAAACTGTAGATATGCAAGATATTAAATGGCATGGCAAAACAATCACAAAATAAGGTGTCAACAGTTGTCTTATCAAAATGTTATTATACATGCATGCATAACATTCATGTTCTGCTTTCTCATGAAATAATTTAGGTTTCCTAATATTCAAGACTCACTTTCTACCAATAATGAATCAGGACATAAAATGGATGACCATTAAGTCCAAAATATTCTAAATGAACTTCAGTCTATAAACAAAGGTGCAAGGTATTCCCACATAGCACTTTCCACATTACATAAACACAGCCTTGCATTAAGATAAAATTGTTTAACAGGCTTGACAATGACCTATATATCATGAAGGAACCATACTATGAAGCAATAAGATTTTTTCTGTATAGGGAATCAAGGCTTTCCACTGGAAAAAAATAGATTTGTAACATGAGATAACGTTAATAAAATGGGTCATAATACATAGAATCAGATGTAAACAGAATGCTGAAGTCACCCATAATCTGGATATAGCTACCAGATATATCCCAATTACAGAGATTTTTCTTTTTTCTATATTACTTTACACATTTATCAAAATTGTTATTCTAAAAAAAAAAAAAAAAAAAAAAAAAAAAAAAAAAAAAAAAGAACTCATTTTGAAGGTATTATGAAAAAAAAGTAAATTACTGAATGAGGTCAGTATTACATTCCAAAACTTTATTCTAAAAGAAGTATAAATAAAAAGTCTATAGAAGGCTTAAGCTTCTCAGTACAATGGAAGAAAAATCTCTGTTATTTTCTTCATTACTAAATAGCAACAACTCCATGTGCAACTGAAATGTGCAAAGGCATACTGTGCAGGCTGACTTTCAAATTAAGCAGTCATAACAAAATCCAATAAACAACAGTGCTGAAGTTACACAACACAGTATTAGAGGTGCATATTCACACTGTAAACTATAACATGCCATATAGCTTTCAAGGATTAGATCCACAAATATTGGAAGGAAAATGTCATAACAAGACAAAAGATGACCCAAAACAGAAGATGGATTCTGAAAAAAGTATTTAATTTCCTAACAATTCATCAAGTGGCATGAAACAATACTTAAATAAAATACAGATACATGCTCAAGAACTTATGAGTAGTATTAGCTTTATATATCAGCTTATACAATATTTCACTATTGTTAATACTACAGATGAATATACAGGATGTGAACATTATGTATATGTATATAAATGAATGATTACATCACCATCTTCTGTGTGTGGAGGAAGCAATCTACATTACCATTAAAATATAATACCTTACCCAGCATATGCTTAGTTTTAATCACCCATTTATGTACGTGCATCCAGTTGAAGAAAATGGTCACAACCTGCATCACAGCCATTCATATAAAATACAGTAGCTTGCAACTCTACTGTTGTGGAGATGCACTTTTTCCCCAAAAGTAGATAAAATTAGTATCAGTATAGCTGTTGTAAAAATACTTGAGTACGTTATCTTTAAAAATCATTTTAGGTCTTGAAGCTGAAAACATTAGTGTCTTCTATAGGCCTCAAACTCTTATATGCATTCAGTGAACTACCATTAAAATTTGATATGTTTGACATTATTCTGGTATTAGCACAGTGCCTATATTTTCTCAGCATTCAATCTTTTTATTCTCTACTATCTGACACAATTGAAGAAGGTTTTTTACATTTTGTTCAGACGTTTTCTGATACTCACAAAAGCCATCTAAATCTGCTGTAAATCAAGAAATGACCATTTTGACCAACTGAACATGTGTAAACCTGACCATATGCAAACTTTCACAAATTTACCAAAACGTCACTTCAGAGGAAAACTGCTAAGACTAAATGCCAGTTTGACATTCTTCTCTTAATGTTTGGTGTTGCTTTCCAACAAAACTTTCGTTTTAAAATTTTATTTATTTAACCCTTAAACGACGGGGCATTTCACTAGCTATTTTGGCTACTGAAGATGGGGAATATATGTATTAGTTATAAAATTCTATGAAGGTGTCAAGTTCTGTGAAATACTAGTAAAGTCAAGATAATCACTAGTCATCCTAAACGAAATCACAAAGAGAAATCTCTAAGCCTAAAAAGAGTTTATCATGGAAAACAGAGAGTAAGTATGATAACTAATATTTAAACAATGCAAGATATGTTGTTCATTTTTCAATACAGCATCAATGTCAGAATTACATGACTCTGATGAACATATAATAATGAAACATTAACAACACATGGTGCATTGCAGATCCATTCTCCATCCCACCATTTTCACAAACATAAACATAAGTCTAGTTGATCTGTCGGGCTAGCTCGTATTTCTCCTGAGTAACTGAATCAAATAATGGAAAACATATACAATGCTCCCAAGACAATCAAGTACACTCACTGACAAATAATGAAACAAACAAAGTATACTAACTAAAAGAATATAAAATTTTAGAATTATACAATCATATTCTCCACTGCAGGTTCTGTGATTATTTTTTTATATCAAATAACTCCTGCCAGATAATAAAACTAAGATTCTTAAATAAATGATCATACCATGGATGGAGTCACCAATCACTGTAAGAGTTACCAAGTTATATACTTTCCCAAGAGCAGATCCTAACAGTGAGGTAAAAATCAAAGCTGGGAAAAATTTTGAATTGGGTAAAACTCATCTTGTGACCACAAGCAACACCCTTGTCCTTTCTTAACAATCATCCGTCGTTAAAGGGTTAATCACCCTTGGGACAATCAGAGCAAAGCGTCTCCAGCAGGATTCAAATAACATACCGCAGGCATAATCTGTGCAAACACAATACAAGCAAGAGCAATCTAGCACCCAAAATAACAAAATCTATGTATACTTCAACTTTTTTTTTTTAATTTTGTGTTGTCTACAACTTACATGAGAGAGACTCTGCACCTTATGTATGTTCTCTAGACTTTGTGCTAGGCCTCCCTCCCCAGCCCTCTCCAGGTGGGGGGGACGTGGGGGCAGAGGCGGGGCACAGGTGAGGGAGGCAAAGGAGCCGGAGATATTGGGAGCGGATATCTGGGAAACGAGGGAACGGCTTCGGGCAGGAAGAGGAGGGGGAATCTCAGACGCGGAACGGGTGTGTGTCTGATGGTGGGATAGGTGGCTATGGGGATGAGAGAAAGAAGGACGGGAGAGGGGAGGAGA